GTTCCTCAACATCCCAGACACCCCCACACGTATCGACCAATCCTCCCAACAGCACGACACCTGCCCCGACTTTACCTGTGCTCGTTACCCTCGACGCTGGAGATGGCAGGTCGCCGTCGACCGCCTCGGCGGTGATCACCTCCCCATTATTTTACACTACGACTTCCTATCCGCAACCCCATCTCACTGCCACGCCCGCTGCGACACATTCTTCACTAAGTGGGATAAGTTCCGAGCAGCTCTTTCTACCGTCATGGAACTTGCTGGCTTTTACGACATTATACGAGCCATCCAGTCCGCCCACATGTCTGCCACAAAGCGGCTAGCCGTAGCGGACGACAACCCAGCACCTGGCGAGCATTTACTCACTGGACCGCCATATTCGCCTGTTGTCCCGTTACCGCCCTTCTCGCAGACCACGATGACTCCTCAAACCTTCACATTAACTCCAAAAGACTATCTCGTGCTACACTTCGGGACTCGCTTCGAACTGCTGGATTTCCCTGTGCAGCTCCATCTCCGGCAATAGCCATCTTTCCAAAGTTTGGAGGCTCCTCCGTTTTCTCCTCGGGGACCACAAACCTAACCAATTTGCTGCCACTGTTGCCCTTCGCAAAGGTGTCTCTCCCGAGGAGCTAGCTGAATGGGCCTCGGACGTCTTCTTTCCGCAACCAGCGCAACATAACTCTGGATGCAACATTTGTGTTCACCCTGTCCCCAAGCTCTCGGGATGGACTCCCCACTCACCCTCCATGAGCTCGAGGCCACCCTCGACAAGGCCAACACTCGCGGTGCACTTGGCCCCCAACAACGTCATCCTCGGGCAACTTCAGAACCTCAATACGGCACTCAAAGAAATCATGCTCATAGAGATCAACCAGGTGACTCCAGACTACTGAAGCCCCAGAAGTACCTGATCGCTGCCATTTGTCTCGTTCGTCCTGGAAGCTCCCGAGATGACTAAAAGCTTCTCTTCTTTTTATGCCCAAACAGCAGGGCGGATATGGTGGCCACTTCTTTGGACGTTAGGATTCCTGTCAGAAGTACTCAATGCAATAAAATGTTGTTCAAACTTGCCAGGTTTTAATTTTAGATTGCTTGCATACTACACGACGGAGTAGCAAGCATTTGATTATTCTTAATTTTTAGCTAGGACTGATTAAATTAATTTGAATACTTTTGAATGTTTTATTTTAATGCACACATATCCTCTAAAAAGAGTGGAAATGTAGTGATTGATAAAGAAAAATAGACATAATGGTGGTGCCACAGTCGACTCCTAGCAGAACTGTTTGGTGGGGCAACAGGCAGACTGAGATTAAAGCCCCTCTATCCTAGGAAAAGTGGCGCCATTCATTGTTGTGGATATTTTCGAGACACACACCGTGTGACACTTCTGGGAAGGACATGGCATCTGAAATCTTTCTCACTGCTGCGCTGTGTCGCCATGATCTTCCCAAGGGCTGCACGTCGCACGAGCCTTGTGCATTGACACACTTTGCGCTACTTTGAAAACATGAAGGGGCTTTAAATGAGATACCATTGCGTATGCCACGGGCAGAAATTCAAGATGTTGAAAACAAGCTGTTGCATTGTAAATTGTGCAAATTACTAAAATCCTCCGTCAATATGCCTCAGCAAATGAAGATTACAGGGTTTACAGATTGGGCCAAAGGAAGACGTCCGTCACCCCAGAGGAAGAACATGTGGGGATCTTGACGTGCAACCAAAATTTTACCATCAATAGAGAGTTTTAGTAGATCGTTCCCATGACTCCGATAACGATACCCGATACTCCGCCACCGCCTCCCTTGCGCATGCATAGTATCGTTATCGGGGCTATCGGAGGTATCGGAACGATCTACTAAAACTCTTTAATAGCTCTGAAATCAGTAACGACACTACCGTAAACCAATTTTGCTCCCAGGTGGGTCGCCGAAAGCGGCGTTGGTAGCCACAGCACATGGTCATTGTTGGAACTTGCATGCATAATGCAGAAGAGCATCATGCCCTCTTTAGGTGTCGCATTCTCCCACACCATCTTTAGCGTTTGTGTGTATGGCACAGGCTTTGGATGGTTTCACAACCGACGACCACGTGCATGCTAGGCTGTGAAGATTACAAGCTGGGGCGTGGGTTTGTAAACAATGGAAAAGTGTGAAAAAGTGCACAAACTCTATTTTCAGTACACAAATATTGCGACTACTATATCGGACAGAGGTATGCGCTACAGCTTGCAACAAATTCTTGTGCCGACATGAGCAGTCTGACGCATTCCAACTACTTGTCATCACAGCCCCTTTCACTTTACTAAAGTTGGTTTATTATATGTTCTCCAAGTCTTTGGCATTAAAAATGAGGTCGATTCCTTGGTGATACTGCCGTGCCGGGCTGTGGCCGGCGGTGAAACTGCACAGCCCACCAGCGACGGCAAGCAACCAACTGAGCGTCCAGAGCTAGAAACAAAGTTTTACAGATTGAGTCTCTTGGGAGCGGCCACTTGTCTCCCAGAACGGGTTGAGTAGTGTCGGCCCGTACCGTCACCACGAACATGTGGTTGTGATGCTGGACGAGGCACATCACGACGCGAGTCGACAGGTCCACCTGAGGCCGAACCGTCGACGGAAGCTGAGGGTGACGCCAGCTTCGGAGAGACGCAGCAGCACCTGCCGCAGGCGTTGGTCATGTTCCTTTTAGAGCGCAGCTCTTAGGCGCCCGTTTCCGGCTTGAGCGGCGTCGCCGTCGCCGTCGCCGTCGGCGTAAACAAGGTCATCCCAAGGTCACGCGACCCCCAAGGTCACCCCAAGGTCACGTGACCCATCCCAAGGTCACGTGACCCCCAAGGTGACCCCCACGTGAACCCCTGAAGGTCACGTGACCCCAGGTCACGTGACCCTCCGGGCAACCTGACCCCCAAGGTCACGTGACCCCTCCCAAGGTCACCTCAAGGCCACGTGACCCCCCAAGGTGACCCCCACGTGACTCCCCAAGGCCACGTGAACCCCCAAGGTCACCCCAAGGTCACGTGACCCCCCAGGTCACGTCTCCCCGAGGTCACGTGATCCCCCCCTCCCCGAAGTCACGTGACAACCCCCCCCCCCCGAGGTCACGTGACCCCCCGGAGTATATTAAAGAATGAGGGGAGGAGGAGGAGAAGGAGGAGGGGTTTACCCTCCCCTCAGTACCCTTCACTCCTCCCCCTCAAGAGCTGCGCTCCAATTCGGCGTTACAGGGAGTTGTAAACGGCTTTCACTTTTTTTTCGTTCCGCCGAAGACTAGGATGTCGTTGACCATGTTGGCCGTACCGTCTAGGCCTTCCAAGATCCACGCCACCTGTCGCTGGAAAAACTCGGGAGCCGACGTGATGCCAAATGGGAGTCGGCAAAAGCAATAACGCCCATGCGGCGTCATGAACATCTTAAGCTCTTGAGAGTCCTTGGAAAGCTTGACCTGATGGAAGCTTGAGGTAGCATTGAGCTTCGAGAAGACTGCCGCATCGCCCAGGAGTCCGAGGACTTGATCGACAGCAAGGAGCAAATGACATTCTCTCAAGACAACTTGATTTAATTTTGTAAAGTTGGCACAGACACGGTAAACTCCCGACGACTTTGGAACCATGAACAGTCCAGTGCCCCGAGGTGTGGGGTTGGTGACACGCCGAATGGCTCCGTCTTGCTCCAGTTAGGCCAGTTCTGTTCGCACCACCTCGCCCAGGGGTATCGGTATGCCGCATGAAACACTAAGTGAAAATGGATTTGTATCTGGGGGTAGCCGAATTTTGTACTCCTTCTTGAGCATACCGAGACCTCTGAAAAGTCCCTGCGGCGCCGGCACTTTCATGTCGTCCGAGAACTTTACCACACCCAGAGCCTGGATGGTTGGGAACCCGAGCAGGGTCACAGAGAGGGACTCGATCACGTGCAGACGCTGATAACAGGTCTTGCCTCGCCACAGGATGGTAGCTATGAAGTACCCAATGACTTTTAGCGACTGGTCTCCTGGTGCTGTCAGCAGGTCGTCAACCTTGTCCAGAGGATGAGGTAAGTTCGGGAAGGCTTCCAAAACACCCAACGCCTCCGCGCCGAAATTTACCTTGAATATCGCCGTGTAGTTGTCGACACTGACCTAACATACTTCGCCTTGGCCTTCTCAGTCTCGAGGATTGCGTGGAGCTCTAAGGAACGCCACTTTGCTCTGCTTTCGTTTCCAAGCGCAACAGATGTCCGCGAAGTGGCCCTTCTTGCAATAATTGCACAGAGACTTCCGAGCAGGACAGTCTGAGCGTGCGTTGTGGGCCTGACTGCAGTAGCTGCAAGAACATGGGTCGTTATCGCCAAGTGAAGACACAGCTGATCTTACCGTTTCGTTATCTTGCGTTGGTGCGTCAGACCACGACGAGACTTGGTGGCGTCAAAGTTGACGGTGACCTAGAAACTCTCGACTCCTGCGAGCAGTTTTTTTTTCTTTTTCGGCGTTTTCGACCTGCCTCGCCTGCGTCCACGCGTCCTTGAGGCTGAGCTTGGCATTCCAGCAGAGCTGGCCGGACAGACATCCGTCACAAAGACCAACAACGAACCAGTAGCGAACCACGCGTTCTTTGACTTCGGGGGACGTGTAGTTGCACCACTTGATAAGCTTGCAGAGCTCGGCGTAGTAACTGTCGACGCTCTCTCCCGGCTGCTTAACCTGCGTGTGGAACCCCGAGGACTATTACACCTCGTTGACGAGGTACACGAAGCGTTCCGAGAAGCGCTTGACTACCGTGTTGTAGTTGTTCAGGGAGGCGGTGTTCAAGCTGAACATGGCGAGATGGACCCGAGCCTCGGGGCCCATGCAGTAGAGAAGTGCCCGCACCTGAATGTCCGGTGGTGCTTGGCGAAGTCTGGAGGCATAAGCGTACTCCTCGAGTTGCGTAAACCGGGTAGGCCAAGAACCGGTGTTGTCGAAGTCGAAACCAGCAGGCTGACGTAGGGAGCCGCCCACCCATGCTGGCACAGTGTTTGCAACCCGATTACCAAAAGTGTCCAAACTTGGCACTAGCGCCGCCCACAAAAGACGCTACAATTTTATGATCAACACTCAGACTTTCCGATATTTAAAAAAAAGTCTGTCAGGCGTGGCACCACAACGTTCACCCACAGTGCCTCGTCAAAGGGCACCCGTGTGACCCAGCAGTCCTTCGCCGAGTCGACAACAAGGTCACACCACTCCAGTCCTGTGAGCGCAAGTTGTCCTGTCACCTGGTAGTAGTGCTTGTGCTTTTTGTCGACACTCTTGGCCGCATGGATAAACTCCACGAACCCTCTGATCATCACCTCATCGAAGGTCGTCAGGTTCGCATCTATCACCCGTGACACGGTTTTCACTTCGACTAGTCCGTACTCCTGTATATCTTCGTCCCAAACCAGCCCGCCTGGTGACGCCCCCAGCATGGGAACGCCAGGATTGATGCAAAGGCCAACACCGAAGACTTGGACCTTTTGCTTTGCCTTGTAGCGCTTCAGAGCAGCCGCCTCATTTTGAAGTCCCGCCCTCATGTGACGTGTTGTGCCATGTCCGCCCGAGAAAATCGTTCTGAGAAACCTTTCGTTCCCTGGTGCTTGTCGTTTGACTACGTCTCCGAACTGCGATGCCGTGATCCTTTTCTCACGTTCCGTGTGCCACAGCATACTACTGCTCTGGCTGCGTGTCTCTTCCTCCAGGTGCTCAGCTTGTGCAAGAGTCAATGTGCATGGATCGCTTGGTGGCATCTGGTGATTCCAGCACTCTTTTACGGGCAAGTTGATCCTTGCTGCAGAGGCCCCATCATCCGTGTTCGAGTGCTCCTGAACCTTCCTTGGCAAGGGTGCGAAGGCAGCTTCTTCCATCACGTCCGCAAACATTGGGAATATTCCCTTCTCGATAAAATCTGTATGCAGCCTCTTGACGGTTGCCTGCGCTACATCCACATGCACTTCCGTGGTTTTTCTCGCACTCTTCGCCTTGTTGCTAGAGTCGTGCTTGACAAATTTTAGTTCCTTCAACAATGCCGTACTTGCACCTCTGTTTGAAGAAGATGGGCCCCACTGCCTTGCTCCTTCAGTGCAGGCCATAGCATCCGGGATGTAGGACCTTCCCTCTCTTATCAGGTCTAGCATGTGCCAAAGCAGTGCTGCCACATGCTTTCACACACCGCCTTGGCCAGCCTTGCAGGAACAGGAAGCCTTGCTGACCTGCCCATCTCGGCAGAGCACAGCATGCACTGCGTATCGCCTCGCAAGGGTCATGGAAGCCTCCACGTTGGCCTTGACAATTGTCTCTGATGCACTTGTGGTGTGGAGGAAGATGTTCTGCACTTTACGAGCCTTGAACATTTTGTAGCCAGAACTTGTGGGCTTCTGTGGTCCAGCTGCTTGGCCATGCCCTTGGATGTGGCTTTCCGAGAATGCGGAAGGAAAGTCCTTCAGCTGCTTGGTCCAAGGTCCTGCTGGAAGTGGTAGCTCCCGCGGCTTTGGTACATCCGGTGTCGCCATAGCCTTCCCTAAAAAAAGGCAGCTCAGTCAGCGTTTTAAAAGAAGGGCGGCAATTTGACCAACACAGTTGGTTAATGGGTTTGGTGTTGTTTTGACAGAATTAACCCAAACTTGCGAAGTAAGAGTTCATCTTGGGTAACAAACCCTCAAAAAAAGCCTGCTGTAAACTTTGTGCCAAAAAAAGTGTTTGCTATTAGGCAAACATGCCAGCTTTTGTAATCTACAACTTCTTGTGTACTTTCGAACATCACACAGTTGAAGGAGCATTCTGAAAGCGGGCCGCGCACTGGCGTTGGGGACAAGCATCTGCAGTGTCACTGAGCTGCTTGTTGCTGCTGCCCTCTCAGTGTTCATGATATAGTGCAGCTCTGAAAACGAAGAACGCGTTTTGACCATAATCCGTTTCGTGCCAGCAGCATAAAGTTGAACTGTAATTTCGTTTCGATAAACAATGGAATCTCCCCCATACTATGCATGAAACACAGTCAGAACGGCTTCTCCCCGCCGCGACGAAGAACCGAACGTGAAGGATGTGATGCTGCGCGGACGGTTGTTGAGGAGCGCTGCCGAGGCACGCCGACCGCTGGTACAGCTTCGCAAGCGTCCGAAGGGCAAAAAGATTGCAACGACAAAGCACCGTCCCGAATGTTGAACACGCAAGCAGAACTCGATATCCCACGCTCAGATTTCACAGAGCGAGCGCATCACGAATCGAAGGCATGTTGGCCTTCGTTTCGTGATGACTACTTTATCTCTCTGCTTACAGCGGTGACATTTGTACTGATGTTCGAAACTGCTCTCTCGCAACTGCAAACGGGTTAAATGGCCGGCCTAGGAGTGGGATAGAGCGTAACGGCAACGGTCAGTACTCACCCCGGGAGCGGCGAACGAAGCGGCGTGGTGTCCGTCGACGGCAGCGTCGAAAACGATGGAATATGCACAAAAACACGTAATATACACAAGAAATGCAAAGTATAAGCAACGAAGATGAAAACGACGTCTAGGGCGAGGTGATGCGATTCCAACGGAGAGCAGCCAGACGACGGGAGCCGACAGAACACCGATCCCAAGATTCCTCGCGCGCGCGCCGGGGCGCTTGGGAGAGACTGCAAATGGTCTATTGACCGCAACATCATACGTTAGGAGCGGCAGGTAAAGTTATGGCCAGGGAAGGTAAATATAAGCCAAAATAAAGGAAAAATCATGCAAAGCAAAAGCGGTCATTGTGCATCTATATATATGTCCCAGCGACGTTGAGAGCATAGTCTGCGTAGTCTAACGGTTAGAGCGCGGGGACATGTAGTCGCGGCGTGGAAGTCCGGGTTCGAATCTCGGCGGAAGCTTTTTATTTATTCTGCGCGTGTTTTTTATTTTTTAAGTGTGATCTTTTTTTACTAATCATTTACTAGGACTACTGCGCCTTACACGGTTTTTACTGTTTGCCCTACCTGTTGGGTCGACAAACCGGAAGAAAAAAAAGATTACGGTAAGCCAAGTGAACGCCCTACTACAATCGTTCCATAATGTTCATTAAAGGAAACCAAGATCAAGCGAAGTTAACGTGCAAATACGAACGTTTCACACAAACGGTGCCGAAACAAGCATCCTTTCCCACCAACTACAATTTTATGTGTTTTCAAATATACAACGCTCTTGATACGACTCTTCTCAATAGCAGGAGGCGCCTGTTTAGTACTAATACGCACTGCAGTCGTGTAAATTTTTAAAAAAGTTCCACGAAATAAACACACACAAAAAAACGCGCAGACCTAAAAAAAAAAAAAAAACACGTTTTCGCCGAGATTCGAATTTGGAACTTTTGCGCCGCGATGGCAAGTCCCGGCGCTCTAACCGTTCGACTACAGGAGACTTTTTTTTTTTTTTTTTTTTTATTTGCACAAAATACGCAATACACACAAAACACAACACACTCGAGTTTAAAACGCCACGTGCTTTACCTGGAGCCGTAACGATCCTTAAAACGCCTTCATACCTATTAAGCCATCTAACAAGCCCACCCACCCACCCACTCATTTCTAAAACACTCTTGACCTGCGAAACAACTTCAATAAAAAATAAACGCGCTGACTTTGGGCGGACTTCGGCATGCCGTATCGCCATACGGGACCTCCACAGACCGTACAATCCAAGGGCCATGAACAGATCGTAAGGCACAGTTTCACCTTTCTCCACGGGAAGAAAGCGAATTCATCAATGCACATATCTTTTTTCAGGGTCCCTTGTAAAACGTCTCAAACGAAGACAGCGTCCCAGCAATGCGGGAACGCATGCTCAATAGTCTCAGGCTGTCGACACAACAAACAATTGACACCCAAAAGAACGTACATGCCCTGCTCTTGAAGCCTTACCTTCACTGGTAAGGTGGCAATGTGTAAATGGAAGAAAAACGTTTTTACCGCTGGCGTGCCGCCAGCGGTAAAAACGTTTTTCTTCCATTGTCCAGGACATTGACATTGTCCAGGACCTGCCACATATAATTGTCGGTAAAGTGGCACCGGAAAAAGCGCGTCAAGAAGGTCGCGGGTCAATCTTTTGCGTGTTACACTTAGCAAATAGTCCATTGAAAATCTCACTACCAAAAATTGAGAAAAGTCTACAACTTCCTTTATAAACGCCCGTCTTTGCGGGCGGACCCAACTTTGAAGACACAAGGAAGGACGGCTGAAATTGAGCTAAGCGGGTTTGGATCATAACCTGCATCGGTGGATTCTGTTGATCGCGTAAGAAAAGAAAACAAGAAACAGTCTTTCGAACAAAAAGATGGGCGAGCCCTACCCCTTCTTTGGAGACATGGTGAAAAAGATTGTCTCGGCACATCGGTTCACTTTCCGACCACCAAACAAAGAGCGCGAAAACTCGATGCATCTTCTGGATGCAGCTTCGAGTACACCATAAGACTCGAAGGACATACCATAGCTTGGCGGTTAAAATGCATTACATACAGTTGCACGAGGAAAAATAGACAAATAGCGGTTGCGCCACCCGGATGTGCTTTTCCTAAGTTGCTCTACTACACTCTCCCAGTATGGTGTTGTGCTTTTCATGTGCTGCAACGGGGCCCCGAGGTATTTCCACGGGGTAGTACCCCATCGTATCCCTTCGTAGACTGCTGGCGTTGTAGCCCACGTCCCCTGCCATAGACCAACACTTTTGTCCGGATTAACCACAGCCCCCGTTGCAGCGCAGAATGATGTGCAAAGTTTTAGAGCCTCTACGACACTCTTTTTGTCTGCACAAAAGAGCGCGATATCGTCCTCGTAAGACAAAACTTTTGTTTCTATAGAACCCATTAAAACAGCTCGATTACAGCAGACGCTGCTCGCACCGGCGCTGGTGCTGATATATAAATACACAACCACCGCTTTTGTTTTACGTGATTTTTCCTTTATTTTGGTTTATGTTTACTTTCCCTGGCCGTAACTTTACCTGCTGCTCCCAACGTATGATGGGGCAGTCAAATGGATTTCAGTTGAAAGCCTCTGCAGTCAGTTTCTGCGAGCGAAATTAGACTTTTGTAGTCGAAGCGGCACAGACTTCTCTGCCATTAGGCAGGGACGCTAGGTACTTCCTTGTCCCCATGGAGCTCGTCACGTGACATAACAATCCCTCTTGGCCGCAGCCGCAGCCGCGGCCGCAAGATGAGCAAACCGGCCCTTGGGGGCGAAATATTCCTACCTATTCCTACCACTCCCTAGTCGCCGAACAAGAGCAGCACGAGGGAGCGCGCGGAGAGGACCGTGGTTCATACGTGTGACATCACAACAAAGAATACCAGCGGCGACCAACATGATTGGCGGTCTCTAAAAGACACGGCGCAGGCTTGGGGCAATGACATTTTAAAATCAACACCGTCAAAGTTGACAGTCTGACATCGTTCTTATTTCAGCCGATAAAGTAGAATTTACTAAAAAACGTCCTTTCCGTTCCTTTCCTTTCTCTCGGCTTTTTGCGTATGATCAAAGTGAAGCCCGCCGTGGCTAGGTCAGAAGCAGCCGAGTGGCGCTGCCTGCATGCAGGCGGTGTTCGCCTCTGG